ACATTTGCAGACCTCATTATGGATACAGTTAATTGAGGTGAATAGCATTAGCACCATGTTGCCAAAGAGAATCGTTTCCCATGATCCTCCTGTGCATTGTTGGTGGGGTGATGGGTAGTTCTTTAACATGTTTCAAAAGTATGACCAAGGCTGAACAGAAATTTAAAACAAATTAATAATCCATCCTATAACAATGACAAAGATGATGTGATGAGCATGGTTTTATGAGTGCATCATAGCTGAGTGGCATCTAATTTAAAATGTTACAGAAGTTGATTTATAGTTCTAAGTTATTGTACTTTGCCCACATATGGCTGGTGAGTATGGAGTAAGATAAAATATTGAGTTTATAGAAAAGGAGAAAACAAGTAATATAGTACATGAGTTTAGATTGGAAAGGGACACAGAAATCAGAACTGGAGCAATGTCATAATATAAATGCATGTATAAATCCCTTTCTGTCTTGTTTATGATGTAAATTAGACAGCCCTTGCAAACTGCATGGGTTGTAGCTAACATTACTTCTACTCTGAGTAGACACACAGTCATTAATGAGCATGTGGGGATTATTTTGTTAGTTTTTCTCTCTATAATATGAGTGCTAATTATAATGCGAGTTTCGAATTTAATTTGCACATCGCCCTTCATCCAAAGATCACAGGGTGGTTCATAACATAAAAATACAAAATGAAAACACAAAATACATGATAAAAGGAAACCAAGCCAATAACTCATCTCCCACAAACATAATATTCTTATTTATTAAATTTTACCCTGCATTATCTGTTGTGCTGTAGAACTGTGACTTTTGATAGATATACCACTATTTCACACTAAATTTCATTCACACTAAAGGGTGTGGTTCCTATGCAATATTTTTCTTTACAGCATTGGACTTTCCTTTCGCTTCCAGGCATATCCGCAACTGAGCATCCTTTCGGCTTTGGCCCAGCCGCTTCATCAGCTCTGAATCTACTTGTACTTGTCCTCTGCTCTTCCTCAGTAGCATGTTGGACGCCTTCCGACCTGAGGGGCTCATCTTCCAGCGTCATAACTTTTATATGCCTGTCTTTGTCCATGGAGTTTTCTTGGCAGGGATACTGGAGTGGCTTGCCGGTTCCTCCTCCAGGTGGATCACGTTTGGCCAAAACTCTCCACTATGACCTGTTCATCTTGGGTGCCCTGCTCGGCATAGTTCATAGCTTCTCTGAGTTATTCAAGCCCCTTTGCCACGGCAAGGCAGTGATCCATGAAGGGGCAAAAGCTATAGTTTTCCCAGTAGTAATGTATGGAAGTGAGAGCTGGACCATAAAGAAGGCTGATCTCCAAAGAATTGATGCTTTTGAATTATGGTGCTGGAGGAGACCTATGGTGCAAGAAGATCAAACCTATCCATTCTTAAGGAAATCAGCCCTGAGTGCTCACTGGAAGGACAGATCGTGAAGCTGAGGCTCCAATACTTTGGCCACCTCATGAGAAGAGAAGACTCCCTGGAAAAGACCCTGATGTTGGGAAAGATGGAGGGCACAAGGAGAAGGGGACAACAGAGGATGAGATGGTTGGATAGTGTTCTCGAGGCTACCAGCATGAGTTTGACTAAACTGCGGGAGACAGTGGAAGACAGAAGTGCCTGGCGTGCTCTGGTCCATGGGGTCACGAAGAGTCGGACATGACTAAACAACTAAACAACAACAAAGGGTGTGGTGTAACACAACAGCAAACATCACCAGACACATGACCACATTTATGAGCATGTTCACTCATGAAGATAACTATGCTGGAATACCACCCCAAATTTCACTACATGATCAGCAGTGGTGTGATCCATGAAAACCACAGGAACATTATAATCCAAAACTCCCATGATCTTCTGGGTTGATAGGGCTGCATTTTTTTCCCTGGGGGAAATTTACATGGAAATGAGTGCTAAGCTTCCATTTCCAGAAGTGGCTTTTAAGTTGTGTGAAAGATCACAAAAATGTGAAAATTATCATGTAAGGAAATGGCAGAGAAATGGAATAGAGTGCTTTCCAAATGCAGCCTGACTTACGTATATTAACTTCAATGGATCTACTCTGAGTAGAATTTAGTTAGAACCTTATGAAATTCAGATAAAGTACTCAAAACATTGTGAGTTCAAATTCAAGCATTTGGCCAAAGAAACAAATAGTGCACATGCCGTTGAAGAAGTGACTCCGATTTAGATTCCATTGAGGGTAAACAGAATTGTTTCTCGGATTTTAAAAAGTATTTTTTTCCTGTCCTTTAAAGGTATGAACCAGATGTTATTTTATTACATTAACATTCCTTTCTCTATTGGTTATTGTTTTCCATACAGCCTGGGTTTCAATTCGCCAGCTGAGGCTTTGTCTATACATCCATTAACTTTCTAAGCTGGAGGGCTTGGAACCAGAGCTGTGACAAGTTCATATTTTTGTGTTGTTGGCAGAGAAAATCACAACCATAACATCGTGCTGAAATATTTTCTGTTGACAAGTATTTACTCTTTTGAACTTCAGTGCCATCTACTGAAGCTTACTTTGGCTTCTTGTGGTCCTAAACATATTCTTGTGTAATGTTATTGAAGGTGAGCAGGAACTCTTTTGAAGTCCTGCAGCAACATATGAATCTGCTCTGTGAATAGTCTCCCAGACAACAACACAAAAGAATGTAACCTTTATGAAGGACTCAGCAAAACATGCCATTATCCCATTAAAGTAAATCAACAAGCAATTACAGGCATTCTTTGTGACAGCATGCCAGTCAGCCAACCAAAAATAATGGTTTTGATAAATCAGCCAATCAACAGATAATGATGGTGCCAATTTCAGGGAAAAGGAAATTGTTTCTTAGGACCAGATATTTGAAGCATACGGCATCAGAAGGTCAGGGAAAATCAAAGAAATGTGGACTTTGATGTGAAGAATGAATAACAGGCAATTTTAAATAAGAACCAGAATTTGCTGTAATGCAAAATTTTATGGCTCAGGATCAATAGTTCATCCATATATATTTCTTTTTAGTCCTACAAATGTTTTGAACGACATTCGATTTCAAAACACAGCTGATCTACTGGAAGAAACACTAGCAGTTCATTAGCACTTTAAAATAAGCCCTACAATGTAATTGCTCTTCATAATATTTTAAGTTAATCCATTGCCCTTATTACTAAAGAAGCAGCTTTAAATTAAGCAACACTAACTATTGTAGATTCCCTCTTTTAAATAATTTGATTTAAAGTTTCAATTATCTCTACAAAGGAATTCCACAGACTGGCCAGAGTAAGAAACTGTTAATTGTCCAAGGAAGAAATATGCAATTATTTAAACATTTATATATTGGTGTGTAAAATGACAATTCTAAAAATAATATGAATTGAAGATACTAAAAATTCTCTTCTGATATTCTCTTCACTTGGCAATCTCTCGTACATTTTTTTTTTCCTTATGGTGGAGGCTGCTATCTTCTTCCCACTTACTGTTAGGAATAACTGTCCTTGATGAACAATTGGTTGGAGCCACTGTCCTTGAAGACAATGAGTTGAATTTTACATGCAATGTGTTGTGTCCCTAGTGCACAGATCCAGGATGTGATGGAGAGATTGCCAAGCTTATTAAGCCTACTGATCATTATCCCTCCTCATTCATCCATATGGGAACCAGTGACACCATCAGGCACAATTATGAACTTAGCATATCTGACTCTAAAAGACTAGACCAAAAGGTGAAGGCCTAGGGACTTGTTAATTCTTGCTATAAAAGGAAGAGGAGTACAAAGAGAGAGATGAGCACATCTGGTGACTGAATGGCTACATAGATGATGTCAAAGAGAGAGGTTCGGTTTTCGGGACTACAGTCAAATCTTTATTTGTAATAGACTGCTGGCAAGAAATGAAGGTTACTTCACTAGTTATGTCTACTTTTTTAAAAAAACAACAACCACAAACTTCATGTTGCTCTTCCAAAAAATATAGACAATATGGATCATTGCATCTCAGACATACTGATGGCACAATGGAATCCGTTGCATACTGGCTCTTTACGATCAACATACAGGGTTCTACATGAGAGATAGGTGTAATTGCACCATTACATTGTACTCTGTGCTAAACATCAATGACAGCATGGAGTCCATTTGGACTTGAAACACAGTGCTGAGAAATGTAGGAGTGAAGTGATAAACAATAGAATTGGAGTGAAGAAGAATTAAATTATTCCTTATACAATTAGAACATTACTAAATCATCCTGAAAAGTTCTAATGTTGCATACATTGTTGATTGGCTGGAAGAGTTTATATGCCTTTCTATCCCTGAATATTATTATTTCTTTGTGAACTCAAGGCTAACCTACCCCAATAGTTTGGGGTCACAACCCCACAATTTTTGCACTTCAATAAATTGAAACTAAAATGTAAAAATATTGTATTCTTTTTAAAACACACACACACACACATATAAAATCACGAAGAAGCAATATTATTGCATTTCTAATGCACTCATGGGATCTGGAAGAGAAGCTGACAGGTAAAATTGCCTGTAGTGATGGAGCAAGCTCAGATAAGATGTTGGGGGTGGGGACTGTTGGAGAACAAATTTATTTATTTATTTATTTTATTTATAAAAATATTTATATCAATCAATCAATCAATCAATCAATCTTTATTACGGTCCAGAGACCCAACAAATCATTACAAATCAATACACAATTCATACAGCCTACCTCCAGGACGGGGGACACTTCCAAGCCATAAAAAGCATCAGTAGCACAAAAGCTTTTTGTTGTTGTTGCATTGTTGAGGATTTTGGGGTTCACGTGGGTCCCCTTTGTGTCCATCCCTCTCAATGTGAAACGGGACAGGGCTGCGATCTTCCCTTGGTGCTCACACAATTCTGGAAACAAGCAGATTTAATATGAGCAGGTTTCCTGTCCATCTGTTGTTCCTGGTGATGTCTTCCCTCCCCCCCTCTTCCTTGGGGGGAAAAGAACACATATACCTGTATCTCTCTACCCCAATCCAGGCATCATCCTGCTCACCTGTTCTAGGGGGTGGGGAGTAAGAATTGAGATGAGACGATGGGAACCTTGTTCTGGAGATGTGTGATCGTCATCGAAATGTGCTTACATTTGTCATGAAGCCTGGATTCTTGGAATCTACCACTGTCTTCTTTCAGGAATCGCAGCTGAAAGTGGGGTGCACCCCAGGCTTTGGATAGAGCGGAAGACTGTTCCTCTCATGTTCCATTTGTTATGCATACGATATCGAATAGTGTAACAATGCAGTGCTGTCTTTTCTGAGAAGGAAAAATGAAAGATCAGGATAAATTCTTTTCAAAACCCATGGCGATTCTCATTTCTGTCTTGCAAAACTCAGCCATTGTTTGCCAAAGCGCAAGGATTGATTTCCTGGCGTCCCAAAAATATGGCACCAACCACTTTGAGATTTAAAAGCAACAATAACTTTTAGTAATGACTGCAGAATTCAGCATCTGGATAATTTCTAGTTCTTTCCCCCCCTTCTTTGTACTTAAAAAAAAAAACAAGTTTCTAGCCCTCATGATGAAGAGGACCAGCTTGATGATGTCTGTGGGCCCATATCTCAGAAGCATTTTACTGTTTTTCGTGTCAGCCTTTTGTTCCTTGCCCTGGCTTAACAGAGCAATTATGCAAAATATTTATATACCACTATATCATAAAAGATATTGAAGTAGTTTGCAATAATATCTCTATATAACAAAAACACATAAAAATTAAAATCTGAGACTATCAACTAACTATTATGGAAAGATATATTCATGATTGCCTGCATAAGCCTGGCAGAGTGCAAGAGATTTCAGGAGGGGTTTGAAGGTTGAAGGAGGAGGAGGTGCCGGCTGAATCTCTATTGGCAGAGCATTCCACAGGACTGGAGCAATAACACTAAAGGCTGCATTTGGGGTCAATGCCCAGGGCTTTGCATATTAATATGAAGGGCTTTGAACCTGGCTCAGCAACGGATGGGGAAGCAGTATATATGCTTTATCACTGGTGTCAGATGTTGCCAGCCAGGTGCCCACACCAGCTGTCTGGCTGCTGCATTCTGCACTAGCTGGAGCTTCTAAACTAAGCCAAGGACAGGCCCACATAGAGATCATTGCAGTAATCTAGCATCAAGGTTATCAACACATGGGCTACAGCAGGCTATACCTATTTAGAAACAGCCATAGTGGGTGAAACAGACAAAGCTGGTAAAAGGCATACCTCACTTAGGCCTCTAATGACAAACATGTGTCCAGAAGTAGCCCCAGTCTATGTACTTGCTCCTTCAGAGGAAGTGAAACCTCATCAAGGATAGCTGACTTACCTATCTCCCCAACCCCCACAGGGGGGTTCAAGCACAGTTATGGACCCTCATCCAGTCCACCAGTCCATCTATGCACTGATCCAGAACATTTACAGTCTCTCATAATTCAAAAGTTAACGAAGAAGTAGAACTGATGCCTTACTCCAAAATGCCGGATGACTGCTCCAATGACTTCATTTGGTACTGAGTAGCCCTACGTTGCCCTGAGGGAACTTTTTGGCCAAATGGCAGCTCATAAGCAAGCTGAAATATAACACAATTTGTGAATAATTTCAGTATGCAGAAGTGGCATCACTGGAGAATTAATTGAGCAGCATGTTCTCAGAAGATCCCCCTTTTCATAACATTATTTAAATATGTCAAACCTGAACATAGCTATTTGCAGAGGAGTATACACAACAATCTGGGACTTCATATGAATGTTCTAGAAAACAAATCAATCTCCATAGCTGAATCATTTCTAAGGGGGAAAAAACCTCAACCATCTACTAGCCTGGAATTTCTTTACATATACAGTATGCAAGTTTCCTTGAGGCTTTCAATTGATTTGATATTTCTGTGGTTCATTTAACTTGCATTTCAAGGTTTTCTGCTTATTTATTGCATGGTCCTTTTCTTACTGATGCTGGCAATGCCAAGCATTATGTTGAGATACCTTGCTTTGAGAGTCAGCGAAAACTACACTAGGCAGAGAGGAGTGCTGCATTTTCATGTGTCCTCAACCATTCCTTTGTGGGCTTAGGCTGGATCTACACAAATATTTTTTAAAAAAAACTATTAAAAATGCTATAAGAATACAGCTCCCAATGGAAATTTTCAACCACTTAAGATTGCTGCTCTACAGCACCATCTGGTGTCACATTATTAGAATGCATTTATAATGTTATAAATTGCCCTGTGTAGCTGAGTCATTAGTCAAGACAAGGAAGCTGGTAAATGAGTGTTTTAGCTTAATTTAAAAGATGAGCAAGAATATGGAAACCAATACTTTAATAATAATAATTTTATTATTAATATGGCACCCGACTGAGTTGCTCAAGCCACTCTGGGCAGCTCCTAACAAAATATTATGAACACAATAAAACATCAAACATTAAAAACTTCCCTATAGCCTTATGAGGAATGGTTGTGGGAGTTGGGTATGTTTAGCCTGCCTAAGAGGAGACTGAGAGGATATATGATAGCCATCTTCAAATATCTAAAGGGCTGTCACATGGAAAATGGAGCAAGCTTGTTTTATCCTGTTCTGGAGGGTAAGACCTGTGACCTGTGACTAAACATCTGGAAAAAGCTTTCTGAAATAAGAGCTGTTTGAGAGTGGAATGGACTCCCTTGGAAAGTGGTGGACTCTCCTTCATTGGAGGTATTTGAACAGAGGTTATGTGGTCATCTGTCAAGGATGCTTTAGCTGAGATTCCTGCATTGCAGGGAGTTGAACTAGATGACCCTCAGAGTCCACTCTAACCCAAAATTCTATGATTCTCTGAATTGTGAAGGGAGTGGAATAGGTAAAAAAGGAGGCATATAGCAATTTACCATGATTTGTTTATCCCCACTTATTCACTGACAGTTCATTTTAAAAATCTATGCTTGACAATGGATGTTTGAGGAGTTAAAGAAGCCTCATTCGCTCCCCATATAAAGGTAAAGGGACCCCTGACCATTAGGTCCAGTCACAGACGACTCTGGGGTTGCGGCGCTCCTCTTTCTTTACTGTCCGAGGGAGCCGGTATACAGCTTCCAGGTCATGTGGCCAGCATGACAAAGGCGCTTCTGGCGAACCATAGTAGTGCACAGAAATGCCGTTTACCTTCCCGCCAGAGTGGTACCTATTTATCTACTTTCACTTTGATGTGCTTTTGAACTGCTAGGTTGGCAGGAGCTGGGACCGAACAACAGGAGCTCACCCCATCGCGGGGATTCGAACCGCCGACCTTTTGATCGGCAAGCCCTAGGCTCAGTGGTTAAACTTCTCCAACTACAATTCACTGGGTGCAAATTGGGAATTCTTCAACTGCCAGCTGCTTAGCCCCAGCACTGATCCCTGAGGGTGGGAGCCAGTCGTGATTGGCCGCAACAGTCGCCCACTCCGGGACTGGTAAGCAACCATTCTCTTTACAGTTTTGAAGCAAGGATGGGAAAATAGCAGCCCTCCATATGTTTTTACAGTCCAACTCCCATCAAGTCATTGCCAGCATGGCCAATGGTCAGATATTATGCACTTCCAGTGACAATGCTAGATCCAAAAGCAGAACCTTACTGCATGGTTGCTCTTTCAGGGGAAGAAGAACCCTATCCATTATAGGCAGTGGGTCAATTTCTCAAACATGGGACCCACTCACCTAAAGTAACTCCATCTTGCCAGGATTCAAGCTTCAATAAACACACCCATTGCTAAGATAACAAATTATGCAATTGCTGAATTGCATTAAAATTAAGATGAAGATGACTGGCATCTCTAAGAACAGGTTCTTTTAGAGGGAGGGGGTTTAAAGGCAAGATTATAAATTTGCTGATATACCCTAGGAAAGCTCAGCTAGATGCTAAATCTCTCTATATTATATAAGACAATTTCACACCTGCTCCCTTTTGTCACTCCATATGTTTGTCATCAATGAAAAATCCTCTCCAGAAGTGCCTTTTCAGTGAGAATGATTATGACACATCTGATTATCTTCTGCAAATTGGACGGTTCAGTCTTTGAACCGTTGAATAGTACCCTGCACAGATCTTGCCTGCAATGCAGACTTGCCTGGGCATTGGCGTAATTGAGCTGAACTCATGACACAGAGTTTGCTCTCTAAGCTCCGCTGTGAGCAGGAGCTTTTGAGCTGTAATGGAGAGTGCGCAAGCAGGTATTCCTCCTTAATTCAAAGGCCATGGATCTTTTAAACAATTTTAAACTAAAGCTGACCAGTTTTCATAAGCAATGAATGGTTGTCCTGACATTAAACATTCTGTATGTGATTTCAGCTGGGCGGGAAAGAATTTCCTAAGGCTGCACACTGGTTCTAAAACCTTTCTGCGAAGCAGGTCAGTGCCAGTTCTGATACTGTATCACTGTTACTACTTCATTAATTTCCTTTTAAAGAGGAGAGGAGAATGAATTATGTCTTAAGACATTTAGCAAATCAAAGCACCTGTGAAAAACTCTTGGAGTAAGGGCGCCAGCTATAGGTTTGCTGGATTTTTATAAAAATTTAGAATTTCTATAAGGCTATCACACCAGATTATGTATTTGCAAACACACACACACACACACAACTTAAAAAATACTTTCAAAATTGAAAAGGTTACTTTTTCTGTAGCTTCATTCTAAGCACACTTACTGCACTGTAATGTCTAGCATTCCTAAAATAACAGGATTTTTTATAAAATAACAAGCTAGCAGGCCCTGTAGGCTTGCTTCTGTATATCAAGAAACAGAGATGCTTGAGGAATTTGATCATTGTAAATTCTGATATGAGCTGATCTGATCTGCACCCCCTGGACGAATAGGCGGATTGGAACTTAATTATCCACTAGCTTTCACATGTCTTGAATGTTCTGGCACAGTTCTTGGCTCAAGAAGCATAACAAAACACTTTTTTAAAAATGACTGAAGCAGGGTGGAATAATAATAATAATAATAATAATAATAATTTATTTATACCCCACCCATCTGGCTGGGTTCCCCCAGCCACCCTGGGCGGCTCCCAACAGAATACCAACAACAACAATAAAACAGCAATAAAATATGAATTTATAACTGGATTTATAAACCAGCAGATGAGAGACATGGGCTAGTAATGAAATGATTCCTCCATCCCTACAATGAAATGGCAACCATGACAGGTAATACATAGCAATTTATATCTGTTTTTGACCTTCAAAGCTTTTAAATACCTTTGTCCAGAATAACCTGGAGAATTCTTTCTCATAATCCCTCCACTTCCCAGTGAATTCAAAGAAACATTTTTACGGGCACCACTTCTGTCACTTATGAGGTTATCCTATACTGGGAATATTTGCCCTACTTTCTTCTGATAATGTTAATGAATCTACTGTAACATAATTAGCGGATTCTTAAAATGTCTATCAGTGATGTTCAACCATCTATGATTTGCTCAGTTGTAAACCACACCAAAGGTGGAAAAGCAGTATGTAAAATTAAATATACACTAATAAATATTTGAGGTGTGGAGCCTGAGGCAAACAGGGCTGACAGCCAGGTTTTCACATGCCTCAGTTGGACTGCAATGTAAAGGAAGCAGGATCTACCAGGTTGAGCAGCTGAGACTACAGCTGATCACTGGCTCAGCAGGTGTCAAGTCCCCAACCCTGGCTTACCTGAAGATATGCCAATGCAACATGCTCATCTCAGCACAGCCAGGGCTCAGCCATCTCAACCAAAGCTGGCTTTGTTGTTGTTTAGTCATTTAATCGTGTCCGACTCTTCGTGACCCCATGGACCACAGCACACCAGGTACTCCTGTCATCCACTGCCTCCCGCAGTTTGGTCAAACTCATATTAGTAGCTTTGAAAACACTGTCCAACCATCTCGTCCTCTGTCGTCCCCTTCTCCTTGTGCCCTCCATCTTTCCCAACACCAGGGTCTTTTCCAGGGAGTCTTCTCTTCTCATGAGGTGGCCAAAGTATTGGAGCCTCAGCTTCACGATCTGTCCTTCCAGTGAGCACTCAGGGCTGATTTCCTTCAGAAAAGCTGGCTTAGTCAAAGGCAATGTAACCCCCATTTCCCAAGGGGGTGCTAGGGCCAGGGCCAGAGGGGAGAGACTGGAACCTAAGCCTGTTCAGCTTAGACACATGACCTGGCAACCTGTTTTAGAACACTATTTCAAAGGCTTGTTTTCCCTCTGCCAGCCTTTGGCTCAGCAGCTAACAGCAGTCCCTCTGCTGAACAGGGCCTGGATCTGGTATAGCTTTACCCCAGGCTATCTTATAGCACCTCAGTTTATGCCAGCTTCTTATGCATAGGATTGCTCCCTAATATTCACTGCAGATCAAAACTTAACTCTGCACTTACTAAATGCCACAACACTGTTCTTAGCAGTTCACACCGATCAAAATGCATCTTGCAATAAGTATTTTGAAATAAAATAAGAGCGCATTGTGCATTATGAGGAAAAAATATGTTTAGAACTGTGTATTTTGAAAGTGATATGTATTTTAATGGGGGGGGGTTGGTACAGATTATTATTTTATTTTTGGTGGCAGAACCACTAATGAATGCAGCAGCAGCACATGATGAACAGATATGAAATTGACATGCTGCAGAAATAAATTGATTTGCCCGACGGATTCCTGTTGGGAGTTGTGCCCTCACATTTCACAGCTGAATTGGCAAAATGTGATGTCAAAGTGCAACTTTTGCTCCGTTTCAAAATGTGATGATGTCATAGTAAGAGAAAATATATAAATGCATATTTTACATTAGAAATGTCTCATCGTTCTCTGTATAATTCCATGAAGTAGCGCTAAAGAATTATGCTCTTATCTGAAGCTTCAGAAACTTGAGTAGAACATGAGGCTTTGTGTGAAAACATGACATTTCTTCAGAAGGCCAAATTTCCATTGATGGGTTTTATTTGTACACCAATAGGCACAGTGGCACTTTCATCTTCTATTTTTAGCTCCCAAAGCAGCAAAATATACAGAAACCACAGGAAGCCATTCAAACGAGAAAAATTGGACATATATTGAATTGAGGGTAAAAATAATAAAATCATCTGGAATGGGCATCTTTTTATGTGCCAAAAAAAAAAAAAATGAGGGGGAAAAAATGTTTACTTTTTAACAAGAGACCTATAAATACCCACACAATTGTCAATATTTGAACCAGGCTCTAAAATAACATTGTTAGGTTCATTAACAAAACAGTACATATATCTGCTCAGCCATAGTGAACAGTCTGTATGGATGATTTAATTAATATATTTTTTTAAACTTTCAGGGGATGAGGATTGTTAACTTTATTCATAAAGGCACATGTGATCTTATATCATGTATACAGTGACTTCTTTTCATTTTGAAATCCTTGAGAGCACAAACACGGATCATGGCTTTCCTCCTGGCAATACTGACATTTCTACTGCAGAGCTGACCTAACGTGTTGCTTACTTTCTACATTGCATAGGGGGAAAATATTCTCTTTCGTCCAGTTCTCCCCTAATACCACAGTATTTGACACCTACTTAGTTTTATAAATCAATGGACTGAAGAGGCAAAATGACTGGATGGGGGAAATAGGATGATTCTGAAATGCAGAAAATGAAGAAGAAGAAGAGTTTGGATTTGATATCCCGCCTTCACTCCCTTTAAGGAGTCTCAAAGCGGCTAACATTCTCCTTTCCCTTCCTCCCCCACAACAAACACTCTGTGAGGTGAGTGGGGCTGAGAGACTTCAAAGAAGTGTGACTGGCCCAAGGTCACCCAGCAGCTGCGTGTGGAGGAGCGGAGACGCGAACCCGGTTCCCCAGATTACGAGACTACCGCTCTTAACCACTACACCACACTGGCTCTCAGTGAAGAGATGAAACTGAACTGACATGAAGGAAGGAAGAGGTGTGGGAGGAGCCAGTCATATCAAAAATGTTAGGGTTATGCAGAAGAACAGAAGCTCCTGCAGTTATCATAACCTCAGAGCACTGATGGGTAAAAGGTCATTCTGGATCTTCTGGTAGATCTCTGGGTGATTTGAAAGTGTCTGCCATTTTCAGACACATTACACACAAATGCTAGCAAAGATTAAACCAAACCCAGTATTCACCAGGATGCACATGTGAGGAGCCAGCAGATCTCTGACTCAGCTGGCTGATTCTCAGCGCAACTGAACTATGCCCAAACAAGCCCCATATCCTGGCTCAGCCAGAGATATGCTGGCACAAGTACCTCATCCAGCATTAACTGGGGCTTAGATGGCTAGACTGAGACTGGTGGATTTGATGTTGCTGTAGGCCATGAAAAATGGGGTACTGGGGTGGGGGCATGACCAAGCAAGGGGTACTTATGCTGGTCCCTAATTTAGTTCAACATTTTCCCCCTCCGTCGGACTTAGGCCAGCTCAGCTAGTGATAGCTCCTGAATGGAATTTGGAAAAGGCGTAATTTACACTGATTTAAATTAAGCCAGTATGAATTTCACCACTTCCTTTATTTAGGATTACTTTTTAAGCTCACCCTAAGACTGTAATGGACGCGGGTGGTGCTGTGGTCTAAACCAATGAGCCTCTTGGGCTTGCCGATCAGAAGGTCGGTGGTTTGAATCCCTGCGATGGGGTGAGCGCATGTTGCTCGGTCTCAGCTCCTGCCAACCTAGCAGTTCAAAAGCACACCTGTAGGTACCACTCTGGTGGGAAGGTAAACGGCGTTTCCGTGTGCTGCTCTGGTTTCACCAGAAGCGGCTTAGTTTTGCTGGCCACATGACCTGGAAAAACTGTCTGCGGACAAACGCCAGCTCCCTCAGCCTGTAAAGTGTGATGAGTGGCCGCAACCCCAGAGTCGTCTGCAACTGGACTTAACTGTCAGTGGTCCTTTACCTTTACCTTTTTAAAGACTGTAATGGTAATCCTTGCAAGAGAACCAGTGCAGACATCTGTCTGAAACCGGGCTGGATTCAAGTCTTCCAAAAAAGACTTGCCTACAATTTATTACCAAATTCAGCCCACAAAGATTATATTCCCCCCCACAAGGTTTTTCAGCCTTCTGAGGTATATGCAAATGATAATTCTGAGAAACTCAGCCATGAGAAAGCAACATAACTCAGTTTCAGTTTTAATATGTAGAAAGACACAGAGGCCAAATTCCCCATTTGGGAAGGGAAAAATATTCCAAATCCTAAATTAAGTTACATGGATGAAGAATCATTGCCTAGTACCAGACTCAATAGACAAGGAAGAATTTTATGGAGAGAAGGGGCAATGTTCACGTGAACTGCTACCACTGAAGCAACACATTTTCAGACGCTGCGTAACACTGAACGTAAAATTCAGTGGCATGCTACTACAATCATTCCATCATCATAAGTTTCTTTGGTTGCCAGATAAGCCCCCTAGGACACATTGGGACTTTCTTCTGAGTAATAATGCATACACGTGTACTGCATGCCCCAGATACACAGCCCATTTTCTTCCAGTCCCATGCCATCTCCATTGGGAATTAATACTGTTACATGCTCTTTCTATGATTCTGTGATAAAATATCTACACACATTTGTGTGGTGCATTTTAAATGCAAATAGCATGTGGACTGTGGATCGGAAATATGGAAGACATAAAGTTCCCTTTTCCTGGTTGCTCTTCTTTATCCACCTATTCCTTCAATTTGATCATTTATCTAAATGCAAAGACACAGGCTGGATAGGTTAAACAGGCATAGTTTTCAGATCTATCATCTTGTTTGGCTGTTTGGTTGTAAGTCGCTATTGGTTGCCTTGGGCAAGATAAAGTGACTAAAAAAATTAATAAATCAGCATCATAATCATCAACTACCATGTTCCTAATTTTGTTTTTCTCCAAAATGATAGCTAGCAGTAATGTTTCCCAGTGCATTTAAACTGTGTTCCTTAACACCATAGCATAATTTTTGAAACATGATTGATTCAATACGTCATATTTTTACTGCAATAACTATGATAGATTTCACCTGGCAATATGGACAGCTTTCCTAACTGCATTTACAGCATTTTTCTCTTTATAATGCAACATTAATTATTGTAAAATTGTATTCTGGGCAGCAAGGCTAGGTATCAGTACTAAGAACATATTTGAGGATTATCAATGATCAATAATTACATCATTTCCTTATCTTCCCCCCTTCTTGAGAAATGACATTTCTATAAGAAAGCACACACCCCAAAAAGTATATCTCTTGCTTATAACTTGCTTGAACAAAACCGTTGTAATAGCATACAATGATTTGGGTCTTTGGCCTGGTCTTTATTGGAACAGGGCTAAGTGGCTTTCCTTTCTTGTTCCATGGCTTTGGTTTGTGCTGTGTTTCATAACACAGGGGTGAAGGGATGTATTGGCATGTAATGGATAACAATCCACTGCTTCCTAAAATTCTATCCCCTCCCCCCAGTTAATAATGGATGTAAACCTTGTAGATTTTCTCACGTTGTCTCCCTCCCATGTTTTCAACATAAAATGAATATATCAGATGAAGATTAGTTAGCAGTGGAAACTATTATGTCTTCCAAGCTTCGGGTTTTGCACACAAGGACCACAAAAGAGAGTGGGGAGGACCGGATGCTGACTGATGTCTGTGTTCAGCTCAGTCCAGAATGTAGGAACAACATTTAACAACATCCCTAAAGGACCTCTGCTCACATACATGGTGGGGGACCACAATATTACTTATAGGCTAGTCTGCTGTTATATAACATTGGGATCAATCCTAAATATGACGAGTCAGCTTAATTTATGTCACCTCAAATTTAACCAGTATTAAAATACTCCAGATCCAAACTCCATGTGGAGTGGGGCTGTTGCTGGTTGAGCCAGCCTAAGCCTGGCAAATGGAAAGCAAAATTTTAAAATAGAGTGTGACTTTCATCACCCTTGTTGTCATTGTAAATTCCACCAGCTTGCCAGGTCACATTAATAGAGCTCAATGGAGTATGAATCCAGCATAAGTCCTTCATCCTCCGATCCTGTTCCTGCTATTCCTGTAGAATGCCTTTTTTTCCCCCCCTCAACTCAGCTGGCTTAGCCCTAACTTAGCCAGGATGAAGGAGTTACACCAGTGTATCTCCAGCTGAGTCATGGTTGGGGACGCACACAGGCCTAGCCTGGTTGAGCTGAGAACCTGCTGCCTGAGCCAGAGATTTGCCCAATCATAAATTGCTCATTCTCAGCAGATCTAGAGTTAGGACAGCACCCTAATTCAATATTTTATGTTATTCCACATATCTAGCATTTATTGCATATATTTATTCTATACTACTGTATGTATATATTGGTTTCTACTCTAAACTATGAAATCCCAAAATTTTCTTCTGTGTATACCTGCATCGGTTGGAACAGGACTTTCCCTCCTTTGTGAGTCTAGCTGGAATGATACCTTTCATTAAATTTCAGTGTTCACTTACCTTCAAACAATTTTCACTTGAATCTGTTGTTAATAAATAAAGGGAAGCAGGTCTGATCTGAAGCCAATTTACTGTTTATTGCATTCTGTTAGCCATTCTCAGCCTGTATTGAAAAACACAATCAAATTTCCCATACATTAAGAATTCAAAAGGAACAAAGCAAGAAAAGAAAATCAGGAAACAATTGGCTTGTCTTTCAACATCTCATTAAATAATGCCAATTAATTAATACACGTTGCCCACCAAGCTTCTTAGCCAGCGTGTTCACATTTCCACTCAAACATCTTTGTGTTGTGTTGTTTGTTACTCCTTCCCAGTTCAGTCCATACCAATATGGAGAAGGATGTCTTGTCAGACAGAAAATCAGAGTCAATGCAGAAAACCATTTTACATAGTTTTTTTTAAAGCTCTTATTGCTTTTCTAAGCTTCTCATTTATATTTATATTTTCATCTTTCCTTAAAAAGGCAAGCAAAACATACTAGCCCCAGTCCCAATATCCTCCTGATCTCTCTATTTGGCCCTCAAGACTTTCCACAGGACACACCTTGGCTCTGACCCTACTCTGCACACTCCTCAAATGCTCAAGGAATGTGTCCTTGAGCTATGATAATGCTTGCCTAGATGGAGCAGAATTACTGACACAACTAAGCAGACACCTTGAATTCCATAAAGAAGCACTCCACCAAAGCCCAAAGCCTGCTAAAAACCAGTTTGTTGATATCCCACCTTTTCCTGCTCCTGCACTGAAAATCAACACAATGGGAAAACACACATCTTAGAGCTGGGCTGCACAGTCACTACATGGGGCCTGCTTAAAAGCACCTTCGTGATGCAACTGCTCTTCAGCATTAACCCCTCCAACTGAACAGACTGTGAGCTGATTTATATGTGACTGGAGCAAAAGAGCAGAAGAGGAAATGCTCACATCATTGACTCAGACTGCATGGCTCTAAGTCCAAGCATTACTGTAGCAGCATGGGTAGAGTACGGAGAAGACACTCTTACATTGCTCTAGGAACACATGAATCTGCCATCTCTCCATGCCAGCAATGGATGTGCTTTGGAAAAGCTCCTTGCAGTCCAGCTGATTCACAGCATGTCAACCAACATCTCTGGTGAGAAGAAGTGGATTGGCAGCCTGCCTCCAACCCCAAGAACACATTCATAGGGAAAGGGCAGGTGAAGCCCCTGCTTCAATTCCCAAGTTTCCACTGCTCCCTGGATAGGCCCATGCTATCCTCGAATATGTATAGCATTGTTCCATTTTTCATTCCCATTGGGGCTTTGGCGTGAAAATGGATTCATCTTGCCCTGTCTTTCCTTCCTTGTTAGAATTTGACAACAAGAAATGAAAAAGGAAGGGGTGCACATTCTGCGCATTAGATTACATGTAAAAGGTCACCATCAATTGGTTTAGTAGTATCTGTCAAACAGCCAGAGATAAATGTATGCCAGATTTCTTAGAAATCATGTCGCTGATGCTTAAATCACTGTAGGGCCTATTTTCAGCTGCTGACCTTTTCTAGTTAGGAAAGATGTCACAGCAGATCTCATACACAGAAGCCCTGAAACAAAAATCTTTAAAGAGGAATTTCAGTTCAACATGGGCACGTGATATGGTAAACTGTTTAATCAAACCAAGCTTCATGTGGTATCTATGGTCTGTGGTAACTTTCGCATAATCAAGAAATGTGATCCAGCTGAAGTATGATGGGAAAGCAGAAGGGACCATAATAAAAGCTGTGGCAACAGGTTCCACCACTTACCCATGTGGTACCATTTCTTTTGCTCAAACCCACATATTTGTCCCATGGCCCTTGCACACACACAAAATAAAACTCTGTTGCCAAGTGTGGAATATTTATTATCTGATGGTAGATTTACATTACAATGAACATGAGGCCAGCCTTGAAACTAACAAGCCAGCACTGAATTCTTCCTTTTGTAACAAGTAGTTAAACTTACTCACATCCTGGTATCACAAACTAGGGAAAGAGCTATAGCTCAGTGGTAGAGCAACTGCTCTGCACTCAGGAAGGGCTGAGAATATCTACTAGATACCAGATGTTGTACATCTGGAGGACATCATATTGGCTACTCTTGATTTAGACTTAAATTCAAGAGCTACCCAAAGCCTTCTGAAATCTCTTAATTTTGATTCTCTCACTTATTCACTTTTCCATTCTTAAGCTCATTTCTCCACATTTCCATATCAATTTGAATTTTCTTAAATGGTTTTCATGAAAATTCACCTGCATTTTAGTGCAAAATTCTCCTAACAGACACAGTTTTGTATTGCATTTTGCCCAACATACACATTTTTGCAAGCAATTTATCCTCATAAAATATGTTGTTGTATGCTATGGTACTCATATATGCATTTTATGGACACACAATGATTTGGCTGAAGAAGTGCACTGCAAAATTCAAAGAAATGTGAATTTTGATGGATGGCTAGGTGTGGTTCACATATTGTTTTGGAAACTGTAAAGCAGATAAGTTCACCTTTAAATGCAAATTGAATCAAATTTCTCTCCATTCCTCCTTGGAGATAAACACCCACTTTTCTGTACTACTGTTGTTCATGCACCAAATTTGATATCAAGGGTAAATAAAGCACAGGTTTGTAATGCCAGTATCAGTTGTTTTTCCTACTGGCTTCTTTCACCCGAAGATATTTATGCAGTTGAGTTTCAATGATGACACTAGATTTAAGTGCAAATTTAGAAGGATGGCTGTGTGTGAATTAGGTAGGTTTGCCCTGAAATGCTAAGTGAATTGCATCCTATCCTCCATCCCCATTCATAACTCATCACTCACTGCTCTTCCTTGTAGCTTAGCGGGTATCCCTTGTCTTAAGCATCTTGAAATGGGGTGAGAGAGTGTGGAGAAAGATAGCACACTTCTTTGCATGCCCTACTTGCTGCTTCCAGCTCCTACATAGTTCATAAAGGTGAAGACATATACCGTATTTTTTGCTCTATAAGACTCACTTTTTCCCTTCTAAAAAGTAAGGAGAAATGTGTGTGCATCTTATGGAGCAAATGCAGGCTGCGCAGCTATGACAGAAGCCAGAACAGCAAAAGGGATTGCTGCTTTCACTGTGCAGCGATCCCTCTTGCTGTTCTGGCTTCTGAGATTCAGAATATTTTTTTTCTTGTTTTCCTCCTCCAAAAACTAGGTGCATCTTGTGGTCTGGTGTGTCTTATATAGCGAAAAATACGGTAACTCCTGGGAACTGAAGGTTTAGGCCTAGCTGCCTGATGCATAAAAATCTGCACTGTACACATATTACCAGTCAGGAGCCGGAATGTTTTCCTACTGAAGTTGTTATTAGCTTACTCCACCCTTGTGAATTCTCTGAACTCGAATATCTCAGCTTGTCTGACATTTATTAGTAAAGTCCACATTTTATCTACAGTCATGTGAGGAAAGATATACATTTTTATTACAGTTAACTCAGGCAAATTTATCAAAGCCACCCAGAGTTCTGAATATCAAACAGCCATTTGAAAAGAACCAGGAAATCAGTCAAGGAGAACCATAATGTTTTTCCCAAATAAAGCCAAATATATCACCTGCTATCAGTGTAAGACATGAATGAGGGGCTGTGGTCTTCCAGATGCTTTTGGACTCCAGCTTTCATCAGCCCCAGTCAGTATGACCAATGATTATGGATGATGGGAATTGTAGTCCAACAACATTTGAAAATCCACAGGTTCCTCTATCTCTGGAATAAGGAAGCAGTAAAATACATTGCTTGGGCATGGTAAATATCTTTAATTATTTACTCTAGTGACTATATTACAAGTAAGTGTGAGGAGAAAGAAGGTTTGGAAAATATGCTTTGGCTTTTGTTTGAAATGAAAACCTTTCAATAAAACATTGAACACAAAATATATTGACTAAATTAGTATGCCTGTGTGATGACTCTCAGTAAAGCTATACTTCAGCTTAGGAAACACCTTTGTTACTCCTTGATACTTGTTTAAATCTTGTAATTAAAATATTACAATCCCACATAGAGCCTGCCATAAAATACATCCTTGTGAGAGTGTTTCCCCTGGGATTCATAACATTTATATTATTCTAACTACGTGGATGACCCTAGTTGAATGTAGAATCTGAAAAGTCGGTATATGGTATAAAGAGCCATCCATTTTATTATATATTTTTATATTTGTTGGCTAAGGACTTGGATTTTCATAAATTTAGTGGGTTCTATCTAAGTTTTACTCAGATTCAACCCATTGACATGAATGAACTTAACTCAACCTGTCTCCTCAGAGAATGACTAATGCTGGAAACAACTGAATTATTCTTATTATTCTTAAGGTAAAGGTAAAGGTACCCCTGTCCGTACGGGCCAGTCGTAAGAGGCCGGGGGCCAGCGCTGTCCGGAGACATTTCCGGGTCACGTGGCCAGCGTGACGAAGCTGCTCTGGCGAGCCGGCACCAGCGCAGCACACGGAAACGCCGTTTACCTTCCCGCTATAAAGCGGTCCCTATTTATCTACTTGCACTTTAGAGGTGCTTTCGAACTGCTAGGTGGGCAGGAGCTGGGACTGAAAGACGGAAGCTCACCCCGCCGTGGGGATTCGAACCGCTGACCATGCGATCGGCAAGCCCTAGGCGCTGAGGTTTTACCCCCAGCACCACCCGCGTCCCTGTTATTATTCTTATTCTTATGTAAATTTATATACCACCCTTCATCCAAAGATCTCAGAGCCGTTCACAAGATAAAAATACGGTAATATGTTGAAAGCTGCATATTCTAGAGTGTGCATAGAAATGTATGCTGTGAATACAGCATACAAATATGCAATCTACCTGGGGAAATTGCTTTCTCAAATTGTGCAGATTCAGGAAAATTGCATACAAAAATGGCACATTAGGAGAAAAGTGCATTAAAATGCTGGCAAATCATGATATATATTTTTTAAAAAATTCAAGCTCATGTGGAAATGTGGAAAATTGAACTTAATATTGGAAAAATGAAAAACAGAGAAACTGTCAGATTTTGCCATCTCTAAGTGGCATCAGCTGGTAACACAAGTAGTGTGCTCATATCCTGTGGTGAAAGAATAAGATCCAAATGAATTTCTTTTTTTCCTCCTGGTTCCCCCAGGCTCAATGCACTCACAGAAATGAGTGTGGGGGTGGCTATTGGATCCCGTGCTTCCTAATAGTTTTGCATATTAA